TTGTGGGTCACCAGATGCTGATTGCTTATTGGAGTCCATCAGTATAGAAAGTTGAGTGGTTATACGAACATCTTGCTCTCTCCTGTGAAGTAAAGCATAACAGAAGAAAAGTAATTAACAAGGACTTCCCCCTTTAATCGTGGGTAAATTAGTTATAAATGGCTTTCAGATTTTCCCCTATAAAACTTTTTAATCATAAAACCAAAAAATATATATTGATAAAACTATGGTATAGTACGATAGCCTAGAAGATAAGGCATCTTCAAAACTAAAGTAAAAAGTACAACAGAAAACTCGTTCCAGAGTAAAAACTAAAAAGGGGGGAAAAAGAAGAGAAAATTAAACTCAGTTAAAGAATCAACTTTCCTCAGGTCTGCAATTGATGTCTTAAAAGAAGGATGTCCAATAGGTGCTCTCACTCTAAAGCTATGGCACAAACTTTCGATCTCCCCAACTTATATTTTGCCTTTCCTGATGGCATGGAAACACCTTAAGTCATGCATTTAGATAGATGTTGGTTCAAGAAGCAAGCCCAAGTACTTTGGAGGAGTGCTACTTGTGCTTGGCTTCGGTAGTTGAGGTGGAAAGCAAAAGAAGGCACATTCATGATACTCAAGGACCCTAGGAAGAATTTCTTGGACCTTAAAATCTTTTGGCTTCTTCCAGCAGTCTCCTTTCACATTATTCATCGTAGTTATTTAATTTCTATTATAGCTACCAATTGGAGAGTTTTTAATGAATCTGGCTTCAAGCCAGTGAGAGTGCATCCCTCCCTCTTCATAATTTTTCCTTTTCCAGAAAATTTTGTTTCTTATCCCAAAATAAGAAAAATAAAAATAAAATAACTTCATAATTCAAAGGATGAGATGTACCCCAGGTCCCCAATGAAATTAACCCCTTCAAGCAACTCCTTAGAAGGGTTTCGTTGTCACCTGCACTCATCATATATTTTATGTACACCTAACCTCACAATTTTCCTTTACCCTTATTTTCTTTTGGAGTAGATAACCACAATTAAACCTGCTTATATATTTCACTCTATTCTACAAGAAAGCATAACCATAATTGTTCTAGAGTTACAATAACATCATAAGTTTTCATTACCTAGAATCCCGACGAGGACAAAGCGCATCAATTTCATCTATAAAGATAACCGATGGCTTTCCTGATATTGCATGGGATGAGGCCTTGGAGAAAGCCTCACGCAGAACTTTTTCACTTTCTCCAGCATGTGCTCTGTGAACTGAATGTGGACTGTATAATGTAGTGAAAATGAAACCATGGTGACAAAACAAGTTTAGGGGAAAAAAGTAATACAAAACAGTAAATCCAGAATTTGAAAAAATTAATCATTAAAAAACTTCATTGATTTGGTTCGAAGTAAAGCACGAATTACTTTGGTGCTTCCCTATCCTACAAATTTAAGAAAGGAAAAATGCAGCAGAACCTGATAATGGTTAAATGGGCACCACATTCCTGAACAACTGCACGTACTAAGCTTGTCTGGCAATGAAAAAGGTTTATTCACCAAGGTTAAACTTACACATCCAAAGCGAACACTTAGAACACAATAGATAGGATGTTTCAAAAAAATCATAATAATAAGTTTAATATTAAAAGAACCATCTCACTGTCAAGTTTCAACTGCGTTAAAGTATTATCTGGAACAGAAGATCAAAATCCAAAACTAATATTCAGCTGTATTTGGCTTACTGCCGAATACAGACATCTCTTGGGGAAGAAATAGGGAGCTAATTTCTTGGTCTCAAAGTACAAGAGTGAAGCAAAAATGTTATTTGGTTGCTGCGGGAGCTTTAACAGGCTGAAACAAGATGATATGTAATTGAAAACCTATTCTCTAAACATTTTCAGTTCCTCTCAAAATTTTCAGTACTGAAAGTAACAAAAGATGTATATACAATACAACAAGGAACTTGGAAGAGCTGCAATACATAAAGCAGTCACCAGCTTACATTTTCCCCCTATGGATTCAAACTTTTCAAAGCAAAATGCTAATATAAGAGTGAAGATTATTTGGGGGCGGCGGAATGAAACTGGAGTGGTAAAAAGGAACTACTGTTTCCTTGGAGAAAGTAATCAAATAGTTATCAAAACCAAAACAGACAGCTACAGAACAAAACAGTGTAAAACTAGTATAGATTGAATGTATACCTTGCCAGTACCAGGGGGACCGTATAAAAGTAGACCTCGTGGCCACTGTTAAGCATCGTCATAAATTCAAAATTATATTAAACAGGACTCCAGTTAAATTACAGTCAATAAGCAACTCCAAAGTCTATACGATGGAACAGAGAGAGATTTGTCTTACTCTTAGACCAATTTCTCGAGCTTCTTGCGAAAATAGTAGCGGGAACACGATCAATTCTCTTAGTGCTTGAAGGGCCTCGGAGTTTCCAGCAATCGCTTCCTCAGCTCTCCACTGGTTCTCGCTACCATTACCATGATTACCACTCCTAGAGCTCTGATCCTCCATATAAGAGCACTAAAGAATTCACCACTAAATCCGTATTCGAACTCAGAAGTGAAATTCTTCTCAAGACCAGAACGAAGTGAGCTAAACGACTAAATACACATTGAAACTGGATTCCTCTGCCGTTCCTCTAGTTCCTACACCAAGCCTACACTGCTCCGCACTTCAGTATTCCTTCCGTTTTTTCTTCTTAACAAATCAGATAAACTTCTGATGAAAGAGCTGATAAATAGTTAAGTACCTTCAGATAAAATTCGGAATGATGGGATACAGTCTGCAGAGTCCTTTTCGCTTCCGAGATATGAGGTTACTGTTGTCGTTGTGCTTCGACTTGCTATATAATGTAAAGGAAAGATGGTGATGGAGAGCTTCGCCGCCTCCGGCGGTGGGCTTCCAGGGATAAAGCTAAAATTCCCCACCGTGGGCGGCGACTGCTGTCTGAGGTTTCACGGTTGCCTGCCTGCAGAAGACTAAAGTTCCCTCCAGAGAGCTGGGCTAGTGAGTTTGGCCTTGGGTGGGCGTGCGGCGAGTTTTTACTTTTTTCCCTTTTTCTTTTTTTTCTCAATGACAATTCTATGATAATTTACATAAAACAATTACAAATTACGGATAATTACAAATATGGCGATTGACAAATGACAATCATCGCATGTTTAGGTTAATTTGTGATTTATTATACATTTTTTAATATAAAAATTTGAGAGTATAGGAGTTTGTACCTCGACTGGCAGTAATTTACTATATTTACTGAGATTATAGTTAATTAATATTTAAATTACTCATACTACTATATAAATTAATCAATGGTTTACTTGTCCTAAATAGTGTTACATTTTATCTACAAAAAAAATAGTGTTATATTTGCAATTTTAGTTTAAACAAACGATATATTTGTAATTATATTTTAGAAAAACGCATATTTGCAAATATTTTTATTAAAAAAATGATATCCATTAATTTTTTGCTTTTGTTACTTCTGCGAAAGAAAAAAAGTCTCTCTTCTGAAAATAAAAATGATAGTAAATAGTTAATATTTAATTTGATTTTTTTATAAATACTAAGATTTTTATTTTTATTTTTATTGCCAAAAAGGGAGGGGGAGAAGGATGAAAAGAATGAAAGAGACTTGAGTAACAAAATACTTGACCCAAATGCAAATGCAGTTGATAAAACACTTGTGT